TGAAATAAATTCAGAGAAATCTGGAACAAGTGTTATATCATTCCTATACAGAGTACTCTCTTAAAAGAACAATTCTACCCACCAATGCATTCAGGCAAGACAATTTGGAACAAAGAGAAGAAAATTCCCAAGCAATACTTATTTTAAAGCATTAAAGAGTCAGACATGGATTGAAAATACAACTCATCCATATGAGCCAAATCTCAACAATCTACTCATTCCAGATGTGTTTGTGGAGCTCAACGTGACACAAAAAGCCCAACTCTCACACCCCAAACTTCAGAAAGCAGAGGAAATATAGGTTGTGCTGATATCTGAAGCAGAGAATGTGGCCTGAGCGTAATAGAGCATTCATGGCATACTCAAAATCTGTATGGAAGAAGTGACAGGGTTATTGCCATTAAAGAAAACTACTGATAGGTGAAAGAGCCTTCATTTCCCTTTCCAGCCCAATCAGAAGCTATACACTGCTTGTTGTATCCCTTTTCTATATATAGTATTTGGCTGGATCCAGAAAAGAATCAGAGAATGCTGCTTTCCTGTAGTCGTCTTCCATTAACCCTTTCTACATTGTGGTTTCTCTAGTAATTATGCTCAGGTTATCTTTAAAAGTTTCACCGTGCATGAGAAAATAAAGACCAAAAGAATGGCCTAACAGAAATCAACTGTCTGATATAGTAGGTAAGCCAAATTGGGGCATAGAAGGGATGGGAAAGACAAATAGATGAATTCAAGTGTGATTAATTATGTCAGGTTTTCATTTTGTCCTTCTGATTGACATAAAGCCAGAGTTCCTTGTATTCTTCTCCTTAGAAACTGTTAAATTCTCAGAGAGTGAAACATCTGGATTTTCTGTCTGGTGACTCTAATTCAGCACTATATATTCATTCTTACCATATCCATTCAACATTTCAGCTTGATTTTTAAAAGGCTGTCCTCTTTCCAACAGTTTGCACTGTTTGGAAATGCTGCTGCTGCTGCTGAATAGTTTCTTTAAAAACCACAGGACAATCAATATGAAAAGATTTATACAAATATTTGGCCTTTGTGTAAACTTTATCTGTGCTTGTCTAATAAATGAGCAAAAAGGATTTTGGAAACATCAGTTATGTTGTCTACACTAAGGGACTTCCAGAACAGATCTTTCTTAGGCAATCTCCCTGTTTCATTCGCAGCATTTATGGTGATTCCAGGTAATATCTCCTTATACTTGAAATCCTCCTGTTTTCCCTGTTTCTTCCTGCAAAAAATTATAGTAAAGAGGGAACAACGTAATGCCTGTATAATGTCCTTTGGATGATAGCACTAGGAATCACCCAGCTGAAGCTTCATGGTTTTAATAATATGTTACACTAGAGCAAAGGTGCACAATTTGAAATCCCAGGGTTACATGCACATTCCCAAAGCCATAGATGCCATCTTTAGTGTCCCTTCAAAATGAGGCAGTAATAATAGCACCTGAATTTAATTTTATGCAAATTAACATTTTACCTTAGTCCTTCCCACTTTGTTCTGTTTACCCTGTTTAGTTATTTACGTATGGCCTTGATGTACCAAACAGCAGCCAAGCACAGCTCTCAGGCTGGAAAGGATTATACACTCCTGCATTAGACAACCTCATCTTCTGTAATAACCTGAAGTTGTTGCTATTATTACCCTCAGAGGGCAGTTGATTGGAAACAAGAGAGATCAAGATCCGCAGTTCAGTCTGGATTTTCAGCATACTGGTTTAATCCAGTTCAAAAGGAAGTTTATGTAATTTCATACAGAAAGTGAGAAAAAGGCACCTGGGTAATTAAGGACCACTTTCTCTGCCCAAATTTGGTACACCCAACTCAAGCCTCTGAGGAGAATGTGCTGGTGATTCCCCACTTCCATAAGGTAAAGGGGGATGAAGGGTCATAGAGACCCCTTCTCTGTGGGTGTACCTGCATTTGGAATAGCTTCCCCCCAGTAACTCAATCCAACCCTATTCTACTTGTTTTCTGTAAGTTGTTAAAAACTGAGTTATTTTGGAGAGCCTTAGAGGAATGTGTTGGTGCCATTAGACTGAGCAATGGTGTGATATTGCTTGTTTTTATCTTTTACTGTGGATATTTTACTTTTTCTTTATGTATCTTTTGATTGCAGCAGAGTACAAATTCAGTAAATAAATATTTTGAGAAAGGAGCACTTTCTCTCCAAAGCTCCTCCCCCCATATATACACATATGCACTTTATGGGGGAGTAGAATCCTAAAGTATCTGACTCATCATAAAAGTTAGGTTTTGACATCTCATTATTCAAAATATATTTTAAAGATTTGCAACAAATGAAAAAATGCTGTTATTTGATTAAGCAGGGAGTCTGGAGATACAACACACAATTTTTTCACCAGCTTGTTTATTAATTAGGAAGTAGATTTTTTCCCACTTAGGAAAAAAAGGCAGCTTCCCATTCATATCCATGGAAAAGAAATAACAAGTAATGTTATAATTTTTGGCATTCCAGAGTACTTTCATAATTTCCAGTACAATTACGAGAACTATTGTTCCATGAATCCAGATTTCCAAGCCTAAGCTATGGCAATTCTGGTGACTTCATGTGCTCCATCACCCTCTCTCCTTTATAAAAAAAACTGAAAGCGATTTCTTAAGAGGATATAGTTTAGTGAAGCAGATATTGGCCTCACTTTTTATAGCAGAACTTGCCACAACATCAGAGAAACTCATAAGCAATGTAAGTTTATCACCATAAAAAAGGCTGCAATGAATTATTCAAATAATGTTTTGTTATGCAGATAGCAGCATAAAGCACTGCATCAGGAGAATACTGACAGCTTTATTGGCAGAACCTAATCAGCAGGATAAAGGATATTGGACAGGCTAAGCCCCTTTCAGTTTCAATGTGCTAACAAACTAACTGGGGAAAAGCAAAACCACCATACTTTTCAAACAAATCACTTGGGAAGGAATAGGAGACAGGATTTATGAGTTAAACATCATTAAACCCAGTTTTACACTGAAGAGGAAACAAGTAAGAGTTTTAAAGGACATAGATCTTCCTCAACAAAGATGGAAGGAATATATTGGCTGTGAGCCAGTTGGGAAAAGACATATTAAAGTACTATCTGAAAATAAAGTCTGTTGAATCCATGTGGCAAGAAGGTGACAAATCAGCAGCTGCCTTTCAATGACCTGAGAGTCTCTTGAAATACCTTTTAAATTTCCAAAAAAAGATACAGCGCAGGGAGCAATTAGAGAGGCTTGTAAAGTCAAGTACATAAAAAAAGCTGTACTTGGTTTTGATTTGATAGACAAGCTTGTGCAGTTTTATAGGCCAACATCCATGTGTTTTACTTTTTCAGCTCAACAGTTCCTAATTAAGCCCTTCAGATACCACCATTTGGGGTCCAAGCATAGATTCTATACATGCTCTCACGTGTTGAAAAGGAGCTGCCATTATCTTACATAATAGCATGGCTTAAATTGATATGCAGTAAAACTTTAGGTAATACATCCTTTGTGCACACTTAAGCAGAAACCCCAAATTTCTGCAGCCTTTGGAATTCTTGACTCTAAGTATTTATGGCATGCACTGGATTCAATCTGCCACATTTTAGCTATTGCTACACATCTGGTCATAAAAGGGGCTAAAAGGTACAGCTAGACAGGATACTTTTTCCTTCCCCCTTGCAACACGTCAAACATTCTTAGAATGACAGATGTTTGCGCAGCCTTCTAGCTTTCATTCAGCAATGCTCACCGCAATGCACTGCCACTGAATTCTTCAGACCTCTGCCTATTTCTCAGGAGGAACTTTCAGCTCATGAAATCTTTCCAAACCTGGATTAGACATTAGAATTAACATACACGTGCATTTCCAGCAGTGGAGTTAGACAGGCAGAAGGACATTCCTGCACTTTACCAGCTTCATTCCTAAAGTATGTTTTTAAGGGCTTGGCAGGGAAAAAGGAATAGCTAATGATACTTAATATAGGCAGACCAATTCTATCCATTATGGAAGGGTTGCATTAGCCCAGGAGCCAAAAAACAGGCATCTGGAAGCACCTTTTCAGACTAGCACGTTTTTTTTAAAAGGCATAAACCTTCGTGAACTACAGCTCACTTCATTACATGCTATTCTATCCAAGTTTCTTTACAGCAAACTCTGAATTAAATAGCACTTACTCCAAAGTACGCACAGGACTGCTATCTATAAAACTAGATTACACTACTCTTGTTTTAAAAAAATATTTTTTATGGGGGGGAAGGAGCATTTGAGGATTGTACATTTAATTTAGCATATTCTTCTATCATAAATGAATTAAAACACAGATTTCTATCCATAAAGCCAGAATCTAAGGCATCACAGTGATTATGGAAAGTCTAATTTTTAAACCAATGTTTATTTAATCCTCATTTGGAATATAAAACACAAAGTCCTAATGATTTGTTTAGACTGCATGATAATTCTTTGTTCCATGCAAATTTAACAAGAGAATGCTAAATTATAACCTAACCATATGTTCACTATAGCAAAATTTTGGTCCCTCAAATTGTTCCCGGATATTTTATTCCTGGGATTAAAACCACAACATTAAAAACCAAGGCTGAAAAACCCTCAGAACCCCCACATTCCCCTTCCTATATAACTCTCCCACTTTCTCTACAAGAACCGCTTTTCATAACAGTAAAAGGCCATTTTTCAGACACTGTGGCTCTGAAAAGGGCGTCTAGTTTGAAAGAAAACAAAACGTGTAAATTATTTTTTCCATTAGTACCAAATATGTATTTGCATGGAGAGGAAGGCTTTTTTTTTTTTTAAGTTCAATAGGCTCAAAAAAAAAAAAAAAAAAAGCTCAACAAGCCACTATTTAAACAGCAGAACGCCTGTCAAGAAGAGAGTAAGTAAAACCAGATACAATGGTTAGCGTGAAGAGAGCTAAATTAGAAAAGCTTGTTTAAAGCACCCTCCTCCCGCACCAGCAGGAACAGGACGGGCGGCGGGGATACACTCACCCTGGGGCCCGTAGTTCTGTGGAGATGGACCTGCGCAAGAAGCAGCATTTGCAGCAGCAGCAGCGAGAGCAAGCGAGCAGTCACGAAGCCCCAAAATCTAGCAAGCATGGTCCCTTGGGGAGCCAGAAGGAAAAACGCAGCCTCGAGGCGGCCCGCCGCGCGACAGCGGATCAAGGTGTTAATTCTGAGGGGGCTTCGACTTGCTTGCTTGCTGCTTCTTCTTCTTTTAAAAAACTGCTATCCGGGGAAACCCGAGCGCTGGCGACTTTGTCCCCCTGTCTCACACCTCTATGCGCACAGTAGAGCGAGGGCGTCCTAGCCCTCCAGCCGCAACAGGTTAAATGCTCCAGCCTGGGCCATGGGGAGGCAGGGTTCCCATTATAAACCCCAGTGCCCGGCAGGGCGGGGCTAACTAGGGCCAGGCTGGGTGACTGACAGGCCGAGGCATCTTTCCCAGCCTCCCCGGGTTTCTTACCCCCGGCATAACCCTTGGAGCGACGGGCTTGGTCCTTTCCTCTCCCCCCTGCCCGCGCCTCAGATGGTACATCTTACAAGAGTGCCCTTCCAAGAAAGCCTCAAGAACGTGCCTTCTTACTTCTGTTCTGGCTGACCTAGTGCCTGTTTTTTCCGGTTTTATCCTAAACACGAAAGTAAAAGGTTTACTCACCCAGTTTTCTGGGTTTACGTGACACGCCGAGCCGCAAACTAAACTCACATATGCTGATTTTCCTAGGCTTAAAGTATGACTGGCAGAGCCACCTTTTCAATAAATACAAATCACATCCGGGCCAGAGAATGTTGACCGGGATCTGGGAAAAAAATCCTCCGTGATTGCAGTAGGGATGGGCAACCAGTCGCCTATGCGCTAATTTTAAAAGTTGTGACAAAAGCATTCTGTTCCTGCTCTGGAAGCTATTAAGTGAGGAGAAAGAGGAAAGGGGAGTTAAAAAAAAAAAAAAGGAGTAAAGAGACAAGGAGTTGACCTGCTCGCCTGGCTTGGTCCTTGTTAATTACTGGTTGTGGCATTTCCCCACCATTCACTGGTGACCTCTGCAGATACCTCTGGAGGAAATGTAACATAGAGTCGGCTTTTGAGAAGCCTCCTTTGTACGTAATAGTACTAAACAGAAAGCATCCTGAGTGTGCATCAGTGCACACCTCGCTGGTGGGATGCAGGCAGCAACTCTAATGTAGAGAGTAGAGAATCTAGCTTTAGTTGAAAAGCGAGAGCCTGCTAGGAGTAAAACTGGGCTTCAGAGGTTCTTGGGACATACTGACCAAAATATGTCAAACTTCATTGATACTGTCCTTACTGCTTGTTGGGAATCTGGCATGGGTATGACTAAGGCTGATAACCAAGTCTAGACCTTCTCTATTTTACTTACGTGAAAGCCTCAGTTGGTCAAAGCCATGAGGGGTTACAGAGGTCAGTATGTGCAGGCCCATCTGATGATGGCCAGGCTATATGAAAGACTGCAAATTGGAAAATAAGAGGAGGGAATGGTAAAAGACATGAATTAACAAATGATATGAAAGAAAATAAGTATGTTGTCTGAGACTATATATGGAACAGATCATTATTTTGGTAGTGTCAAGAGTATATCTTGGGAAAAAATGGACATAAAAAAAGGAAAGAAATGAAACATGTAGAGTAAAAGTAGAATAACTGCAAGAAGAGAGTATCTTCCTATCCCAGGCAAAGAGGAGAATGGAAAAAAATAACAAAATTTGTCATACAACTTCAAAAGCATTCTTACATACAAGAGTTGCAATACTAATGGATTCAGGGAGGAAATTCTATTTATTTATTTATTTATTTTTATATATGAAATTTGTCACTGCCCATCTCGCTGTGGGGTGACTCTG